ATTTCAGGAAAATCACACAATAGGCAGCAACATTGCTCAAGGCATCCAAGTCACTAAAACCACAAACCTACATCCATCTGCACTTAAGAGTTGCCAAAGTCATGTTGATTTTAGGTAAAAGCATTGGATCGATTAATTTTTTTTAAAAGTAAACTCTTTACTGAATAACTACATACTTTAAAAAGTGAGTCATTAAGTATTAACCTCTATGAACTTTTGCAAAGGGAACACACCCCTGTGTAACCAGCACTCAGATTAAGAAACAGAACATTCTCAGCGCCTGGAAGTCCCCTGATATGCTCTTCCAGTCACAATCCCCCATAAAGGTAACTACTGTCCTTTGTACCACTCCTAACGCCTTATATTAATTTTGTCTGCGTTTGAACCTTTTACCCGTGGAATCACATAGTGTGTGCTTTTTGTGCGTTTGGCTTCTTTCAGTAAAAATTATATTGTGAGTTTGAAAGATGAGACAGGGGCTGGAGAACCAGGACACAGGCTTTATTGGAGGAGAAGACCCCTGCCGGGCTGCCTTCCAGAGGAGAAAGAGCGTGTGTGCTGGGGTGAACATGCCTTTTTTTTATTTTTTTAAAAATATTTTATTGATTTTTACACAGAGAGGAATTGAGAGGGATAGAGAGTTAGAAACGTCGATGAGAGAGATATATCGACCCCCCTCCCCCCCACTGGGGATGTGCCCGCAACCAAGGTACGTGCCCTTGACCGGAATCGAACCCGGAACCTTTCAGTCCCCAGGCCAACGCTCTATCTGCTGAGCCAAACCGGTTTTGGCTGAATACGCCTTTTGAGGGGAGGAAAGGGAAGGGATGGGGCTTAGGTACTCGGCACACGTTGATTGGTGGTTTCATGTAAGGCACATGATTAGGGATTTAGGAATCGGGAGCTTAGGGCAGTGTTCCAAACTTTTGACATATGTGTACCCCTTCTATAATTTTCATAACGCTGAATACCCCTTGTACTCATGAGAATGTAGAATTAGGCATGGTGCAGTGCATATCCCCAGCAAACACCTGTGCAATGGGTACCCCCCACCAAACTCTTCCCTGGGGGTACGCGTACCAGACTTTGGGAAACACTGGCTTAAGGTATTTGGCAGGTGCTGATTGGTGGTTCAATGTACAGTCCATATAAGGTGCCTGGTTAGGTGTTCAGGAATGTTCGGACTGCAGGTGGAGTTTACGTCATTCTCCATCTTATCAGTTGGGGGAAGGGAGGATCTATCAAGATTCATCCATGTTGTTGTGTGAACTGCTGGCTGCCTCCTTGGGCAAAGGCAGGGAGGAGAAGCAGGTCATCAGGTTGGAGGGGGGACCTGGGCAGTTAGGAAGACACAGCAGGTAGACACTCTCTTTGCGACCTTGGCTCATCCTTGAGTGTAAAATAGGGCTCATACTTTTGTCAGCTCACCTGGTCTGTGTCAGAGATAAAAATGTCACTAGACTTGTCACTAGACTTCAGAAAAAGCAGGAGGGGCTGGATCACCCTCTTACACATACCTGCTGACTGACTGGGCATTGACAGGTGCACATTTTCCAGGGCTGGGCTCGGAATTGGGGTGTGCAGGGAATCATAGTCCCTGTTCTGGGCAGCCCTGCTCGGAGCTCGAGCTCTGCCAAGCCTTCTCAGACCAGTGGCCAACAAGTGACATGTCAGAGGAGGGGTGTTCCAGGTGATGGCTCAGGCCCAGGTATTCAGACAACTGGCTGAGCTCAGGATCTTCCTCCGAGGAGTGGAAACCGTCTCTCAGGTGTGCTGGCCCCACCCTGCAGGTCCACCCGTCACGGACTCTGACTTCCTGAGGTGACATGGCTTGAATACTTCCACCTCTCCTGGGGGTCAAGCAGGTTTATTTGTTTACTTCCTTGTGGCTTTGACGGCTGCCTAAGGAATCGTGAATCAAAACAAGGGACACACCATGCTCACTCCTGTTTGAGGCCAGACAAGCCAGTCATCTTTTTGGTGCCTCAGCTTCCTTATACTTAAAACTGGGGACTAGTAATGTCTAATTTTATAGGGATGTTGTGCAGATAAAATGAGCTGGTGTGCAAGACATAACTTTTTGAAAGATTAAGAGACGTGTAATGATAATTTAGGTCTTTATTTGCTATTTTTATTGGGGGTAAGAGAGCCCATACATTTATTTGAAAAAACGTGTGACTTTTGGAACAAACAAGAATGAATTCTGGTTTTGCAACAACATACATGCTATGCAGTTTTTGGTGTTATAAAAATCTCTCCGAGCCTGTTGCTTCATGTATAAAATGGTGTTAGTGATACTTTGCTTGGAGGGTTGTCGAAATCAACTGTGAATAATAAAGTGAAGAGATAAAATGGAGTCACTATAGTCAAGCTGTTAGATACTAAAATCGGGTAGGTTGAGGCATAAGGAAACAATTCTATTCTTGCTTTACCTAGCTTGGGAACTTAAAACTTTTGGACTTTCTAGACCTACATCAATGCCTGGATATGTATCAAACCTTAAAATAACCCTCTGATGATCTCCTGGAGGAATAAGTAAGAAATGTGCAGGTATTCAGACCACAGGTCATCTAGAACAATGGTCACCAACCCGAGGTCTGAAAGGTTGGCGACCACTGATCTAGAGGATTACCATCTCGGACCAATCCACAGTCTAAGAATTCATAACTGCTTCTCCTCAAAAATGTACTTTTTACTATAAGAACTCTTAGCTTTTCTTTCTTCTGAACACTCTGGATATGGCCCAATTGTGTTTCAGGTTTATAAACCCTCCGACTTTTATAATTTATTTCTAGGCAAAGCCTCCAGAATCTTTTTGAGTTTGTTTGACAGTGGTTACATGTATAAAAGTCCTTACCTAGTGCTTGGCACACAGTAGGTGCTCAATAATATATTCTATCATTCCTATTGTTACAAGTAACTAGTGGCCCGGAAATTAATTGAAAGGAAATTAATTAGAAGAAATATATATATATATATATATATATATATATATATATTTATTTATTTTTTTATTGATTTTCTTACAGAGAGGAAGGGAGAGAGATAGAGAGCTAGAAACATCGATGAGAGAGAAACATCAACCTCTTGCACACCCCCTACCGGGGATGTGCCCCCAACCAATGTACATGCCCTTGACCAGAATTGAACCTGGGACCTTTCAGTCCACAGACTGGGCGCTCTATCCACTGAGCCAAACCAGTTTTGGCAAGGTCCACCATTTCTTACTTCTTTTCAGTTGAGTCAAGTTTCTAAACTTTCTAAATCTGTTTTCTGGCTAATGAAAAGAAAATAGGATTCCACCAAGTTTCCTGTCTACCTACTCCAGGACTCCTGTGAGGATCAAATGAGATGAGGCACAGGAAAATGCTTCACAGACATTTGGTTTTAGTGTGAAATGTTTGCACCTGGCCATAAAGCAAATCGTGTTCCAGGGCTGAAGAAACTGCAAAGAGGCTTAGTCCCCACTAGGGAGAGGAAGCTGGGTAAAGTCATTACCCAGATGGTTGGACACTTAGCATGTTAGCCTTTCATATATACAGATGATAGCAACAGAGATACACTATACTGATTCTGAACCTTCTCTCTCTTGCACTTTCAGAGAGCCAGGCTCCTCTCTCCTGCCCCCTGCGTGGTACAGGCACAAGCTATCTGTTAAGATTCCTGGGAGAGAGAAGGAATACTGTGCCTTATGACATATCACACGAATGGCCAACTTAATCTGGATTTGCCCATGACTGGCCTAATATTAGAACTGGAAGTCTTAGTTCCTTGAAATCCCTTAGCCCCAGGCAAACTAGGATGATTGACTTCTTTACAAGCTGCAGCAAAGAGGAAGGCTGTCCAAATGCAGACGAAGGCATTGATTCTCAAGTAAGAGTACCTCAACATTTAAGAGCACCCTCCCACCCCCATCCCAGACAGGCACTGTACAAGGCCCTGGGGCACAAAGATAAAAAGTCACAATCTTTGAGACGAGGAGCCACAAGACCTGTAAACACATCGGGGGAGAAGTATTGTATTTATCTCTTAGGATTACCAATACCTTCTGTAGCCACAGTGCACAAACGCCTCCTATAGCAACGTGCTGGAAAATAGCCTCAGGCGGCGAGACTCTGGACGGGAAATAGAGCTAGCAGTGTGGCGGGGTTCCAGCCCAGCTCTGCCTGTCCTCACACTTAGCTTCGGTTTCCTCAACCTTGAGCTTCGTGGTGTGCTTTTAGCGTGCTGAGGAATCACTTAGGAAGGCTCATTAAAACAGACCCCCCGAATCTGACCCTAGCTTTACAGAATCGGAAAGATTGGAGGTGAGGCCCCCAAATCTGTATTTTTACACCCACCCCACCCCTGGGAACAATTTTGACGTAGGCAGGCTAAGTACTGCTTAATAGGGAGATAATGACCTGCCTTGGTGATAGGTTTGGCGAGTGATTTAAAAGCTAATAAGGCAACAAGCAAGAAAGTGCTTTGAGAACTTGAGAGCAAACCAGTTCTTTGCAAATATTAATAATCCAATAACCCAAATAATATACACAAAAATCTAAATAATGATAGTAAAAGAGTTGGAGGACCCACTGCAAACACGACACATTCCGAGCCTGAACTACTGCCCCATCCACTCCAGCGCAGTCGAGGTGACTGTCCCTTTAAGGGTCTCCCCACCACCCTCACCCCCCACTCCGGCTCACCGTCCCGGGGCATGCGGCCCGCCGCGGCGCGTGCGCGCTGGCAGCAGTCGAACGCCTGAGCCTCCCAGTGGGGCGGACGCAGCGGCGCGACGCCGGCGCTTGTTGCGTGCGCGCGCATGGCCCCGCCCCTTTCCCCTCCCTTTCCCCTCCTCCCTCCCCGACCTCCCCCGCCCGCGCCGTACAGCTGGGCTAGTGACGCGGAGCCGCCGCCGCCGCGTTCTATTTTCTTTTTTCCTCCTCAGCCGGCAACAGCCTGCGCCCTGTCTCCCGCCGCCTCCTCGACCCGCAGCGCCGGCCAGCTGCAGCCAGACAAGGGCACGCGGGGCACGCGGGGCCTCGCCTACACCCGAGAGGGCTGCGGGCGCGCGCGGGCGGCGGAGCGGATCCCGGCGCCGCGGAAGCTGCGGGCGCCCCCCTCCCGGAGGTCGCCGCGCCGTTCCCGGGGTAAGTTGTCACCGTGACCGGGGAGCGGCGGCGTTCGCATTGTGTCCCTGGCGCGCCCGGCGGGCTGTCAGGGGGCGCGGAGTGGGCGCGCACCGCCCCGGAGGAACGCTGGGGAGCCTCGGCCGGCCGCCGGCGTCAGCTGCTCGGTGCTGTCTTGCTGTCACCCGGCGTGGGCCAGCCGGGCCCGGGGCCGGGAGGGCGGCGGGGAGGCTGTGCCGAGGCCTCGAGGAGGACCGGTCGGCCCGTTTTGCAGCCGGGAGCTTAGTGGCGGGGGTCGGGGCACGCCGCCCTGGCCTCGCCCGGCGTGCGGGGTCGCGCTCGCCGCCGGGGAGTTCAGGGCGGAGACCACAGTTGGCGCATCGCTGGAAAGGGGGGAGGCTGAGGCCCTCTTTCTATTATTATTATTATTATTGTTATTGTTATTGTTATTGTTATTATTATTATTATTATTATTATTATTATCCCCGCCAGCCGACTCCAGCCGGGCGTCCCGCACGGGGGCAGGGTTTGCTTAGCGGCAGTGGATTTCCTGAGCAAACCTGGGAGTTCGTGTGAGCCCTGGAGTTTTTCTGCAGCCCCGGCGCTCCTTCTGGTCTTTAATCTCAAAAACTTCTCTTATTATCTGGTTGAGACTCACCGAAACCATTTCCTGTTTATATATGTAGACTTTTTTTTTTTTTTTTAAAGAATTTTTATTCGTGTAGGTCTGAGGGTCAGAGGATTGTGGCTGTGAGGTTGCTGAGAGTGGAAAAGGTTACCTGTAAGGAGACGAGGAGGGGGGGGGGTGGTTTGGGGAGGATCGTAAGACCCAGGAGAAAGAGGCGTCCAAACCAGGTCCTTGGCTGGTTCCAGGGAAGTTCATGTTTTGGCAAAGAGGCCTAAAGCTGTTGTTTCCACAGAATGTTCTCTCGGTGGCAGGCGACTCATTGGGCTTTGTTGCTCTTGGTAACTGGGCTTGTGTGTGCTTTGTACAGAGGTGCAATAAAACTCCTCCTCAGGTCAATTAAACTGTAGGCATTTACTCCCTTTCTAGGTCTGCAGAGGTGGGAAAGTGGGTCTTTCCATCTTCCACAGTGGTTAATTCATTTCTTGCTCTCTTCATTCCTCTGGTTTAAAATGTAGGTATGAATGATGTATACACACACACACACCCTTTCTGTTTTGGGAATTCCACACCTAAATTCGCACCATCTAGTAGAGACTAGTAGAGACATGTGCTTGGCATTGAGTTCTGAATGTATGGGCTTTGCATTTTCAGCTAGAGGCATTTTCAAACAGAAGTGAAAAATTTTCAGAGTTAGGGAGGGGCCCTCTACTTCCCCCTCTGTAAAGGAAGTATTCAATAAAGCAACAATAATAGCAATAATAGGGGAAAGTTCTTGAGGATTTAGTATGTGTGTTTCAAGCCTTGTGCCAAGAACTTTGCTTTCTTGATCTCATTTAAATAAACAACAAACTTCTTTGGTAAGTATTGGTAGTATTCCCATTTTTTTTTCAGTTGAGACCAAAGCTAAACAAATAACCTGACCAAGGTCACAAAGATAGCTTGTGGTGGAGCCCACACTGTAACTACTGGATTTTACTGTTAGTTTCTAGTTTGCTTACTTTCTGGTAAAACCAGAGTCATTATAGAGTCTTTTCAATAGCACTACTTCTTGAGGCTATTTTTTAAATCTTGAACACCCTTAACTTTTTCTCCAACGTATGTTTGCACAGCGTTCATTTGTTCTTTTATTCTTCCATTCAGTACTCACAGGTATTTATGTGGTACAGAGTGTAGGTCAGGCACTGTAATAAGTAAGACAGAACACTCACGGAGTTCACAGTCTTTAAGTCAGTTTCATTTTTGTTTATGTTGTTAATTTTCATTGGTGACCATTTGCTGCTTAAGGAACTTTTGCCCGATGAATTAACTAGAGCAGTGGTCGGCAAACTCAGTAGTCAGCAAAGCCAAATATCAACAGTACAACGATTGAAATTTCTTTTGAGAGCCAAATTTTTTAAACTTCTTCTAACGCCACTTCTTCAAAATAGACTCACTCAGGCCGTGATATTTTGTGGAAGAGCCACACTCAAGGGGCCAAAGAACCGCATGTGGCTCGAGAGCCGCGGTTTGCCGACCACAGAACTAGAGGCCTGATAGGTCGGACTTCCCTGTACATACCGCGACTTTTTGGATACTGTAGTAGATATGGCATGTGATACAGGTCCTCACCTACAGCTAGACTGGAACTGAAAAACGGTGCTCAGCATCGGGCCTGCCCCAACCTCTGTTCTGCAGTGTTTAAACCCTGAGAGCAAACTCCCTCTCAAATGGTGGAGTTCAACTTATCTGCTGAGGTATGCCTTCTCAAAGCCCAGAATTTGGGCTGACAGAAAGAAGAGGAAGAAAGGTAGAGGAAGATGTTATTAACAAAAACACAAAACAAAAAAAGAGGTTATTAATGCAGTCTGGCAGATGAAAGGACCTTAACATTTTGCCTGGTTTCCTGGTTGGTCTCCGTCTCGTGGTGATTGAACGTGTGTGCTCTTATGCAATGGTGCACCTCCTGGCAGGGGATTTCCAGCTTTGCTATTGCTGGGGCAGCAATTCCTACAGCTATCCTCCCCCTCCATATGCACATATGCAACTTCCAAAGGTAGTAGTAAGTCACTTGGCTTCTTAAAAGTAAGAGCTTGCTTGAGGTTTATTGATACTAAGCATTGTTTCATTTTCTTCATGCTTTTCCATCCACCAGATGAAAAATTTACTTATGTTTTACATCTTGCCTTGTGCTCTTTGTCCATGTCCTTAGCTCTTTTGACAGCCAGGTAACTACTAGTACCTGTTTGTGGGGTCAGAGAATTACGATATCTTCTTAAACAATCACAGAGTCGCATAATTTTACTCATTTTTCTTAAGTAATCTGGGAGAGTCTTTAGCAGAGCTGCTTGTAGGCAGAGGAGGAAGGTCAGACAGCACATGTGCTTGTCTTTTTCCTCTAGTTACCCATTTACCAAGAGGTAGCAGCAGAGCTATAATGCCCTTTTATAGGTCTGAAATGCCTACTTGGAGACCTGCATGTCAGCAGACCCATTGGGCCAGGTTGTGTAAATTGCATGCATGAAGCATTTTACTAAGCTCCTGAACTGACATGTGATCCCCAGTTGAAGCTGACAGGCAGTATTCATTTTCCCTTTTCTACTTGCCTGCATAGTTAGAGGTGTCTTATTTAGGGGGCATTCCATCAAGCAGTAAAAGAAAGATGAGAAGAAACGAATAATAGAAGAAGCCCAGTGCCTTTAAAGAACAACAACAAACAACAACTTTGGAAGCAAATATTGCTCTGGTGCAGACTTGAGGGGTGAGGGTTAAGACAGTTGGGTTAAGGGTATAAGCATTGGGACAAATGCATATGTGATGGTACAGACTCACCCCCAACTTCTGTCTGGGGCCACCCACATACATACTCCACTGTAGTGAGATTTCATTTAACGGAATGCTTTTTATTTTTTTCATTAATATTCTTAAGTTAGGTTGCCATATCGCAGGAAACTTGAAAACCACAGCAATGAGAAATAATGCCTGTAATGTGGGAAGGCTATTTTCCTATTGGTGGGAGTGAAGGATACCATTTGAGGTTGGGGCTGGGGGTTTTGTAATGAGTATTTGAAGCTGCTAACAGCTGTGAATCTGAGACCAGTGAAGCAATTTCAGGAAAGCATTGGTGTGACTATCCTTGAGCATCAAGATCTGATTCAAGGCAACAGCCTTTGTTCCCTAGGGTGATGGTAAGTCCCGTAATGTGTAAAAACCTTTATGTGAAAAAGTAGAAGTGGAGAAAGAATAACCTTTTACAAGGCTTAGGCTTTAGCCCCGGAGCCTGTCAGGCACCTTGCGAGTGTTTCCTTTTCCTAGTGCTCATGTGTTTCTGTGATGGTGTCCTTTTTCTTTCACTTCAAGTCTTTTGGCTTGGAAGCAGCAGGGTTCCTCTGTTTGTTCTCTCATCCTTTGATTCTTACCTGAGTGCGGAAGTCTCCACTCTGCTGGTAGACCTGTAGTGGCGCCAATCTGGTTCACTTCAGCCATGAAAATCCACTTGTGGTATTGTCTGGGCTGGGGGACAGTGGAGCCCCTGTGAAGGTATTGGTATGGCAACAGCAGAAAATGTAACTGGAGTGAAAACTAAATGGGTTTCACAGACTCTGGTGTTGCCTGTGATGTAGTCTCTGTCCCTGGCTCATACATCTCAAAATGGGAAAATAGCCCCCCTTGAAACATCTAAAGGCTATATGCCAAGAATCAGAAGCCGAATATTATTGAAGTTTTTTTTTTTTCCAAGCAGAAACAGATGCAGTTTCCTGTTACTGTCCGCAGTGTTAGTAAGTCCTTAAAATTACCTGATAGCTATCTGCCCTTAAATGTCCTACCACCTCACACACACATATATAAGTATAGACTTTTTCTTTCTTTTTCTTTTTTATTTTTGGCAGGGCCCCTTTCCGTGACTTGGGGAATGTTAGCTTGGGATTCCTGATGACAGTAATAGGTTCTCAGTGGGTTTGCAGGTGGCAGTGTTGGTAACTGACTTTTTTTTTTTTTTTTTTTAATATATTTTATTGATTTTTTACAGAGAGGAAGGGAGAGAGAGAGAGAGAGCTAGAAACGTCGATTAGAGAGAAACATGGACCAGCTGCCTCTTGCATAACCCCTACTGGGGATGTGCCCACAACCAATGTACATGCCCTTGACCGGAATCGAACCTGGGACCTTTCAGTCCGCAGACCAACGCTCTACCACTGAGCCAAACCGGCTTCGGTGGTAACTGACAATTCTTTATTACTCAGAAGAGGATCTTCTGTGGTGAAAATGAAATGATTCAGGGTTCTTTTCTCCTGTAGTTGGAGATTGGGCACAAAATATCATAAGAAGAGACACAAATAGGGGCTCTGTCTCAGTTTTTTACCATCTTTTCTTAGGAGGGGGAGCGTCCAGACTTTCCAAGTCCAAACTCCTCCCT